AATATCCAATGAGAATTTTGGGAACAGATGTAAGTCACTAGAAAAGTGAACGATAGAAATCACCAGCACCCCGTAAATGAAATTTAAAAAAAGTCAATTTATTTGGACTGAACGTCACACATATCGCATAATCCATGGACTTTTTTTTAATTTAATTTACGGAGTGCTGGTGATTTCTATCGTTCATTGACTGTTGTACACGCCGCCATCCGTGATTGTCACTGCGAGCACCACTATTTTCACTTGGACCGGAAGCGCTGTAAGGAGTGCAGGGGGACCGACTGTTTTCTGGAAGTCACTAGAAAAATTGACCGACCGAGCCACCCGTGGTTAGAACTTCAGCCGCTTCAGTAGGATGAGGGATTCCCCCCCACGCCCCCAATGGCTCTTGTAATTAGCAGCTGCTGCTCCTCGATTCCTAAACATGTACTGAAATATCCAATGAGAATGATTTGGACCAGCCCTTTCTACGAAAGTTGATGGAAAATTGGACTTTTGCTGAGCGAGGGTATGCCGACAGGGCCACCTGTGGCTCGACTTTTGTCCACTTCAGTAAGAAATTCAAGCAATATGGCCAGCTTAACTCCAAGCCCATATTTGTAGTTGGGCTTTTACAAATTCTTCATATAGAATGGATGTTTAAGAGATTTAAAGGGGGCAGCACAGTGGCTACACTTATGCCTTGCAGCAATGGCATCCTTGGTTAGGCCAGGACACTATCTGCATGGAGTTTGCATGTTCTCCTTGTGCTTGTAAGGGGTTTCCTCTGGGTACTCCAGGTTCCCCCTACACTCCAAAGACATGCTGGAAGGTTATTTGGCTCCACTCTGACACAGAGCAGCATCCAGCGGGGAGGAGAGAAACTGTCAGGAAGCCGAGTGAGGTGAGAAGGAGAGCTCTGTCAGCGGCTGTGTCACAGGAAGCCGAGCTCTCCTCCTGTGACAGGTAGATCAGGATGAAGAGCAGTGTGCCGAGGAGACAGCTGTCGCAGGAGACCGATCTCTCCTCCTGGCATAGCCAGCTCAGGCTCCTGTGACAGGAAAGTCAGGATAGAGAACGGTTACAAGTGATCAGGTGATTGCTGAGTGCTTATAAATAATTGAGGATATAGTATGTTTACTGTGTCCCCAATTATGAATGAACAGGAAGTAATCTACATCACTTCCTGTTCATTCATGATTGTGGACATAGTAATTCATACTATCTCCTCAGTTTATGAATGAGCAGGAACACTTAGTATAGAGGCTTCCTGTTCATTCATAACAGGGGCTGCAGAAAAAGAGATTGAGAGCTCTGTGTTTTAAAAGAGAAATATCAGGGGTCTGAAATATCAGCCCTCCCCCCCCCCCAACAGTAAAGTAAAAACCAAATAAAATACAGTGGTACCTTTGTTCACGAACGCTTCTGTTTGCGAACTGGAAGTTCGTCAAAATGTTGCTTCCGTTCACTAAGTCCACATCAGGTGATGAACACAACCGCAGCCATCTTCCCTGCTCTGACACGTGGTCGCGGCTTCCTCTAGTCGAGTTACAAAAGAGGTTATCACCGCACTGCTTACTGGTATGTCCCTTTTAAAGTGGGTGCTGCAGTGATAGTGGATGGCGCCACTTCAAATCCAAATAGTAAAGTATATCACCAGCACACCAAAGTAAAATCTGCAACGAGTGGTCATTTTATTGATGTACACACATCTCGGCACAAAGCAACGTTTCGGGGCCGCTCGGGGTCCCTTCATCAGGCATGACCTCTAGTCGAGATCGCGGTCTGATTACAGTTTGATTTGGTTCGCGACCAGAATCGTGGAACGAATTACGTTTTTTGAACCGAGGTGCCACTGTATTACAAAACCGGTTTTAAAAAGGTTAGGAAAAAAAAAAAAAGTTTTGGTTTTCGGCCTGACAAATTTTTTATTTTTGGTTTTCGGTCTGAAAATTCCATTTCGGTGCACAGATGTAGAAGAAATACACAACCCACACCAACATTCAAGAAGAATACACATGACTCTTGTATGAGGACAATATTTGGTTATCCCGGAGTTTAGCTTTACGACCCGTGGTTTAACATTCACAAATTAGAGCTGAAGCTTGCTTTACAGCCTTGTAACAAAACTACTCAGAGCTGTCAGGAGGCATTGCAAATGGCTTGTTAAATCTTGCTGTACACACCGCTCTTCTATAAACGGAAGATTACTGTAGCTGAATGTGCCTTGACAAGAACACCCTCCGACTGCTGTGACAAGGGGCCGCAGGGTATAGTTCTGGATAGGATTTATATAGCGTCCAGGCTGGGGGACTCACCTTCAGGTTTTGGCATCTGATTTCAATCCTGTTGGTGCTGCAGATAAGAACCCCTGGACCTGATATTTCCTGTGGACTTGCCTGTCCATTACAGCTTTTACATTCGCTTGGTTGGGTTAATGTGACACTAAACTCAGGAGATAAATCCTAAAAATACATTCAAGCACCTTAACTATTAACAAAACTGTATCTTATTTGTGTATCAGTCGGCTGTAGATCCTCCAATCATCTCTGAATTGGTGCCGACACTGCTCTTCCTCATGGAGGGTGGCTACGTTTGTTCCCCATGGTCCCTGTGTGTGTTGTAAAGTAGTCACCGCTCCAAGCTTGCTCCCAGGATGGACTACAATCTCACGTTTAGTTTACTAATTCATATTGGGATTGTAGTCCATCAAAGGAGCAAGCTTGGAGTGGTGACTACTTTACAACACACACAGGGACCATGGGGAACAAACGTAGCCACCCTCCATGAGGAAGAGCAGTGTCGGCACCAATTCAGAGATGATTGGAGGATCTACAGCCGAGTGACACACAAATAAGATACATGTACATTAAAGCGGGCCTTTACCCAGATCTAAAATAACAACAAACACAACTTTTAGAAATGTTTAGTAATGACAATCTACAAACAGACTTCTAGATAATTGTCCGCTTTATAATCTTTGCATTCCTTATTTCTCTTTTCTTCCCCAGTTTTCTAAAGTGGCCATGTTTACTAGTGGCAGATTACTAGCTCTCCTTTTACTTTTTAATTTCTGGGACATGTGACTAGGACATGTGACCATGCACATCATCTCAGGGGAGGAAAATGCCTTTCCCTGAGATCTCATGAGATTACAGATGAGATTTCCCAGCGATGCTCTGCTGATGACAGGGCATAATTTGTCCACCCCGGGGTTAAGATCTTTACCGTTTTTACAGAAAGCGTGGTGTGGTATCCAGTCACGTCTGCTAGGGGCTCATGGGAGACGATGATGTTTAGGCAAGAACCAGTCAGTCAGCAGCTTGCCCGAACAGTGACAAACGGGACTGGTAGAGACTGGTATAAACATCTCATGAACAGGCAAAGGATGGAATGTGGAAGTTCACTTAATGTAAAATCAAAGGTCAAGGCTGCATACATTTAACTTGCAAGTATACATTGAAGCTGCAGGACCTTCAGAATCCTCTTTGTTATGCAGTCCTACTGTTAATGCAAAAGTAAAGGGAGGTATGGGGAAAAAGAATACCCCCCCCCAGAGCTTTTACCCCTAATGTGATAGTATACACTGCATGGCACACTTACCTGCCAAACCAATCCCCTCCAGTGCCGCACTCCTCCCCCACTGACGCTTGCATGTTCGTCCTGGTCTTCCTTTGAGATCCTGATTCTTCCGCCGCTTGATTGTCCCGGTAACAAAGCTTACACAGTACTACATGTCCCAAAAAGTCTGCCGAGTGTCAATTATTTTTTTTAAACTTCCACTTTAAAGAATAACTCTGGGCATGTGAGTTCTTAACCCTTGCAGTGGGGCTACCCTCGCACTGCAAGCGATAAGTGCTCGTTTTGTCTATGGAGCTAAAATAACAAAGATATTTTTACCCAGAATCTCAGACCCTGCTGGCTGCTAGACCAGTCCCAGCAGGCTCACTCCCCCTCCAATCCAGGGATAGAATGTCCCTGGTTGCCCTCACATCCAATACACTGTATTGGATGTGATGACTCATGGGACCTTAGACCGCCAGAGCGAAGGGGGAGAGTGGCTACAGGGGCCGGTCTAGCAGCCAGCCGGGACTGAGATGTGGGTAAGTATAACTTTATTTTAGCTCCCTAGACAAAGCTAGCACTTAACCCTTGCTGTACAGGGGGGGTGGGGGGGGGGTAGCCCCACTGCAAGGGTTGAGATTTGATTTGCCCGGAGTTCTGCTTTAACTACTGTAATTTAAGTCAAAACTTTGGATAGTGATCAGGGGTCTGTGTCAGGTTTTTGTTGCTGTCTGTGTCCCCCCATTAAGGATCTTTACTCTCTCTGGATGTCCTGATCACCAATGGGAAGACAAGTAAGGGTAATTCCAACATTTTGAGAAGCGGGAATAGAGGTGAAATCTTTCAATGGGGACACTTGTTCCCATGTCCAAGAGGGGAATTACCTCTTATTGGAAAGATATCCTCACGTCCTGTTGAGACTACAGGACAGGAAGTGAAGGGAAATCTTTCTGTGAGACTGGCAAATAAAAACTGACAATGGTTCCCCCCCCCCCCCCATCCAAAACCATTTTTAAATTGAATATATTTTAAGCATTGAATTAAGGTTTGCTCTAACTAGGGATGTACCGATACTAGTACTAGGGATGCACATATACCGAGTATTTGGGCGAGTACTCGTACTTCCAGATTGGCCAGAAAGCCGGCTTCATGCCCCGTCGTCACCTGGTGACGAGGGAGCATGGGGCCGGCTTCCCATGCCAGGCAGCATGCAAAAAAAAATCTGGTATCAGTGCATCCCCAGCCATAACCATGATTTATCATTTTGTAACTTTGCATGTTTGACAGATGTCTGTCTGCCCGTGGCAGGTTATCATTATGACTGGTGGCATCGCCTTTCTCTGCTGGTTTTATAATAATGTTCTCGTTCTCCTGAAGGATTAGATGACCATGTTGTAATGTGCACCAACCTATCTGTTAGCAGTGCTGGCTTACACTTGTGTGTTGCTGTTTTGCAGTCTTGGGACATCTTCTTCCGAAACGCCAATGCCGGTGCTGCACCTGGAACCGCTTACCAGAGCCCCCCGCCACTTGGTACCACCCTGTCTGCACTGACCCAGGCACAGTCATTAGTTAAGGGTCAGCCAAATATCGATAAGCTAGTGGAAGATCATCTGGCTGTGCAGTCCCTCATCCGTGCTTACCAGGTACGTCTCCAGATCCTTCTCAGGGTCTAGCATTTCACATCTGTAATCCTTTATATTAGGTAGCTTAGAATTTTCATTAAGGGAGACCTCCAGAGAGCGGGGTGAAGCTGAAATGTAAATGTGACTGAAGCTGGCCATACACTGTCATATTTTCTTTGTTCAACCCGCGGCTGAACAAAGAAAATATCGGTACTACAGATTCTTCTATCAATGCTTACGAGTGTGGATCGAGGAATCTCCCGATGTTTGCATTGTATCCTGATGGCAGCTGCCAGCCGCTGTCAGAATATGGGAACAGAGCCGGCAGCTTGTTGGCTGCCAGCTCTGTTCAATCAAAGATTTTCTGACTGGCTCCTTCGAATGTCTGATCGAGGGGTGCTGGCCAAAAAGGGTGCCGACAGCAGCAACCACTGTGCGAATTTCAGCCGGTTCATCAACAACTGGATGAAATTTGTATAGTGTGTGGCCAGCTTTAGTTCATGGGTCACCGCCAAACTATTCCTCAAAAGGTCCCTCGGCAGTGACCAAGTCTTGTCACTCCCCACCACAGCCCCTGCCCCATTTCTCATTGTATTTGTTTTACGTATGTGGTCAGGCATGAGAGGAAAATAAAGTAAGGAGCCACAAATTTTACATTTTGTGCTGCTCCTTTAGTTAAGCTCGGGGCTGAACAAATGCCAGGAGTCAGGTCGCCAATGCTCCTTAAAAATTAGACTTGACACCTAACTTTTGAGATTTTCTCTAGTTTTTGACAATGGAGCTGGCTCCTAAAATCTGGCTGTCTCCTGAACTCCAAAATTTGTCCACGCCTGGGATAGCTTCAGAGCAGAGAGCATATCTCTGGAAATGAGAACAAAGAAGGCATCAGGGATACCTCTACATGTGTATTCTGATGTAATGAGGGATGAGCAGGGCTTTGGTTAAGCTTATGCAGGGACTGCAGGCTTCCAGCAGTTTGTGATCTTCGCTGATTACATGAGGAGTGAATTGCACCATGGACCATGAATTGCTCCAGTCATTGACCCAAACATGTATGTGAAGCAGATGCCTTCCTTGTTCTCAACCTAACAAGCTTCCAGTCAGCAGCACAATGTTTACGATGGCCTGGGCGCCTCGAAGTGTGAGGAAAGAAAAGGTTACACGGTTGCATTTAAAGTGACACTAAACTCAGGAGGTAAACCCTAAAAACCCCCCTTCTGGAGGGTAGCTACTGGTGTTCCCCATGTTCTCTGTGTGTGTTGTTAAGTAGTCACTGCTCCAAGCTCGCTCCTGTGATGGACTACAATCTCAATACAAATTAGTAAACTAAACATGAGATTGTAGTCCATCACGGGAGTGAGCTTGGAGCGGTGACTACTTTACACCACACACAGAGAACATGGGGAACAAAAGTAGCCCCCCTCCAGAAGGAAGGACAGTGTCAGCACCAATTCAGAGATGATTTGAGGATCTACAGCCGAGTGATACACAAATAAGATACATTTTTGTTAATAGTTAAGGTGCTTTAATGTATTGTTAAGATTTAACTCCTGAGTTTAGTGTCACTTTAAAACATTGCTTGCCCTGGATATAATAATAGAACTGCTGTGTTTTTAAAATGACAGCTTTTCTTTGAAAGGGTACTTTTTCCAATCCTGATTCAGTTTTTGGTTGATGTTGGCACGATGAATCGCACATCAGCACCCTGTTTTCTCATATAAATGTATTATCTAGAGTGTAAAAGGGTTACAAATATCCCAAAATAATTCATAAATGCAGGTACATTGCTAGGGAAAGAAATGAAAACAAATACCTATGTAACTAGTTACTGACTTGGGAAGTCAAACACATGGATTTGCCACTGATTTCCCTAAGAGCCAAAAGAGGTAGTTAAGAGGGAGCATTCAGTCAAATCCTTCCTGACATGTCACAATATAAGTCCGCATTATACATTTTCATAAAAGCTGTACATTTTAGCAGTGAAATGTAGGCATGCACCATTACCGATACCGAGTATTTGGGCCAATCAGAAGCCAGGCTGTAGGTAATGACTCGTGGCCCGGCTTCCTGATTGGCCGGGAAGCCGGCTCCATGCTGATTGGCCAGGAAGCTGTCTTCCTGGCCAATCAGCATGGAGCCGGCCTCCCAGCCACTCAGGAAGCGGGTAATAAAGCGCCTCCCGGCTTCCTGATTTCCCGGGAAGCCAGCTCCATGCCACCGGAAGTACCAGTATCGGTACTTTGTATTGGCGAATACTGAAATATAAATATCAGTACCCGTACCCGATACCGAAATACCGGTATTGGTGCATCCCTAGTAAAAAGCCATCCTTGCACTGCAGTCAGTGACTTTGCCTCGGTTGAAATTATGTCATTTGCGGGCAGGAGGAAGCATTTCCTCAGTCTCCTCTCCTCCACTGATCAGACTGTACATTGTAACTTTGTAGCAATTCACAAGGTGAGATGCTGCAGCAAGGATGGAGAAGTCAGCGGATCAGTGGTATGTGTTCGCTCACTTCCCGACCTATAGAGCCGACCTGTTACAGTTTCAATGTCACAGATCGGCTCTAACCATGAGGATGAGTGTAAATCACTTACCTCATAGTTCACCTTTAACATTAAGTTGTCACCTATCTTTATTGCTTTTATAGATGCACCGATATATCGGCCGAAAATTGCACTTTTGGCATAATGCCGAAAGTGCCATTTTCCTGCCGATGCATCGGCGCATCCGTGCTTTCTTTACTCCCCGCTGGGCGCAGCTCTGTGTCCCAGCGGGGAGGAGACAAACTGTGATGGCCGAGCGCTGCGGGAGGAGAGCGCTGTGAGCTGCCGGCGTCTCTCCTCCCACACCGCTCAGCCTCCTATCACAGTCCGGCTGAGCGATGTGTGGGCGGAGACAGGCCGCGCTGTAACAGGAGGCGGAGCTCTCCTCCTGCACTGCTCGCTCAGCCTCCTGAGCAAGGTACAAACATTCAGCGATCAGTGATCACTGAGTGTTTTATAGATAATTGAGGACATGGTATGTGTACTATATCCTCAATTATGAATGAATGGGAAGTGATCTGCATCACCCCCTGTTCATTCATAGTTGTAGTTATAGCAAACATACAATGTCCTCATGTTATGAATGATCAGGAACACTCATAGAGGATTCCTGTTCATTGATAACAGGGGATACAGAAAAAGAGATTGAGGACTTTGTGTCCTCAATCTCTTTTTCTATTTTGAAAGGGAAATATCAGGGGTCTGTTTAGACCCCTAATATTTCCCCAAAGCCCCTAAAAGTAAAGTAAAACATTTAAAATATTTCATAAAAAATGAATTAATAAATATCAAAAAAATTCAAAAGTTAATAAAGAAAATAAAATCAAATATTTAAAACATTTGAAAACATTAAAATAAAAAACTTTCGGTTTTGGCCTGACAATTTTTTTTATTTTTTATTTTGGTTTCGTTTCGGTTTTAAAAGTTCCATTTCGGTGCACCTCTAATTGCTATCACAAGTGGGATGACAGGGGAGGTGGGCCCGTTACTGCAAACATGGAATCAATTGGGCAGCTTTATGGGCACCCGAATCACTTTCTACTAGAAAGCCGACAGTCAGCATTGCAATATAGCAGCCGGCAGTTGCTATAACATGCATGCACTAAAAAAAATATATCTCATGTCGGGTCCACTTTAAGTGTTTCAATCTGCAGGCATCTACCAAAAACTGAATATATAAAATGGCTGAACTGACCCTCTAAATCATTTATAGACACGTAAGTACAGTACTGTTAATGGCTTAATTGTCTGCAGAAGGAAAATGATGACGACTCTGCTCAGTGAATCATTGTTTCCATGTTTAAAGAAATGTTCCGAATTATCAGGACTTAAAGCTGTGCTTCGAGATTACACCCTCAGTCACAGCACGGTTCATAAATATATATTATATAAGTAGTCACATTCCATTAACAAACAGTGCAAGCATTGGGCCTCATGTAATAAAACTGGAATGAACAAGGAAGGCGGTGAAGCCCTTAAGGTCCAATCTGGTTCCAGCCATCGGTTTTCTGTTGAAGATTGGGAAATAAAAGATGGCGTCGGATTGGATGCTATGGGAAACGCCCGTCTTTCTTCACTTCCCCAGTTTTGTTTGCTGGGGGGAGGGGAGGTGTCATTAACCAATTTGTGTCATTGCTTCCAGGTAAGGGGTCACCACGTTGCAAAACTTGACCCCCTCGGAATTAGCTCTGTTAATTTTGATGACGCTCCAGTAATTGTCGGTCCTCCGAATGTCGGTGAGGATACCTGTACTAAATTTGTAACTTTTTTTTTTTTCTTCTTCTCTGCTTTTCCTCTTCTTTTTTTTTTCTTTCTCCTTTTTTGTTGTTTCTGTGTTTATTTTACGTGGTGCCGCCTCTATTCCTTCTACCCTCTGGTTCTTTTCATCATCTCCTTTCTTTTCCTCCATTTCCCTTCCCGACCTACCTGCCCTCTTATTGTTACTTGTCCTTGTTCTGCCTTTCTCTCTTCTCCCCTTCCACGACCCTCCTCTGGCACCTCTCCTCTATATAGATCCGTGGGCACCATGTTGCCCAGCTTGACCCACTTGGCATTCTGGATGCAGATCTGGACTCCTGTGTGCCAGCTGATATTATCACATCCTCAGACAAACTCGGTGAGGGCCAACAGCTCTGCTAGAAATGGTCACTGCTTTTGCGCTTCCCTCTCACCCCCCTACCATGTATGTCTACCCCTCCGCTCAACAGAATGTAGGTGAAGAGTTCACAACTAACAGCTGGCTTCCTCCAGGCCAGAAAATATACAGATCTAGTGGCCAGTGTTCTCCTAAAGGTCCATGTAGTGATGAGAGAAGCATGCACTAAATCAACAGAAAAGTTGGATGGTCGGTCGCTGTGACTAGTACTAGCAGGCACTCGTACCCTTGTTTTATTTTTATAAGTGAACGCTTCCTACAGAAGTAGATCCAGGCAAATCATTTGCAAACAGATCGCATGTGCTTGGACAGGGTGCAGGCCAATCTTAACAATGCTAGACACAATATCAAAATAATATGCCTTGTGCATACTCTTAATTGCCTGTTATTTTCACTTACGCCTGGACAAGCTGTTGAAGTTCTCCTGTGCTGATATTGGAAATACACTATATTGCCAAAAGTATTGGGACACCCCTCCAAATCATTGGATTCAGGTGTTCGGTGAGATTTCCTTGCTACTAAATATTCCGCGGTCACCTGTTACTGTTATTCTAACAAAGTGGAAGCAACTGGGAACAACAGCAACTCAGCCACGAAGTGGTAGGCCATGTAAAATGACAGAGCGGGGTCAGCGCATGCTGAAGCGCACAGTGCGCAGAAGTCGCCAACTGTCTGTAGTGTCAATAGCTACAGACCTCCAAACTTTGTGTGGCCTTCAGATTGGCACAACAACAGTGTGTAGAGAGCTTCATGGAATGGGTTTCCATGGCCGAGCAGCTGCATCCAAGCCTTACATCACCAAGTGCAATGCAAAGCGTGGGATGCAGTGGTGTAAAGCACGCCGCCACTGGACTCTAGAGAAGTGGAGACGTGTTCTCTGGAGTGACCAATCACGCTTCTCTGTCTGGCAATCCGATGGACGTGTCTGGGTTTGACGGTTGCCAGGAGAACGGTACTTGCCTGACTGCATTGTGCCAAGTGTAAAGTTTGGTGGAGGGGGGATTATGGTGTGGGGTTGTTTTTCGGGTGTTGGGCTTGGCCCCTTAGTTCCAGTGAAGGGAACTCTTAAGGCATCAGCATACCAAGACATTTTGGACAATTTCATGCTCCCGACTTTGTGGGAACAGTTTGGGGATGTCCCCTTCCTGTTCCAACATGACTGCGCACCAGTGCACATAGCGAGGTCCATAAAGACATGGATGGGGGAGTTTGGGGTGGATGAACTTGACTGGCCTGCCCAGAGTCCTGACCTCAACCCGATAGAACACCTTTGGGATGAATTAGAGTGGAGACTGCGAGCCCGGCCTTCTCGTCCAACATCCGTGCCCGACCTCACAAATGGCCCAACATTCCCATAGACACACTCCTAAACCTTGTGGACGCCTTCCCAGAAGAGCTGAAGCTGTTATAGCGGCAAATGGTGGACCAACTCAATACTGAACCCTACGGACTAAGACTGGGATGCCATCAAAATTCATGTGGGTGTAAAGGCCGGCGTCCCAATACTTTTGGCAATATAGTGTATTGCCACATGGAAATCGACATGTACACGTGTGGATATATACAGCAAACCTTCCCGTTAACCACGAATGTGAACATTTGACGCAGCCATACTTCAGGAGTCTGTACAGATGTAACTAAACAAGACCGATGAATAATTTGCTGGCCTGCATACAAGCTTATCAGGAAGAGTGGGCTTCTGGCGTTCATTCTTTCAGTATATTTCCTGTCCTTGTAAAAAACAAAAAGCTGTTAGTTGGGCTCTGGGTGTAGATTGGACGGTAGCGGTTATTAGACTGCAAAGCTCATGCTGCTCTCACGCCAAAACTGCTAACTTAGACTAGTGCACCGAGTAACCAACACTAACCTGCAAATGATGGGCATGTTGAGGGTGTGTGCTGGAAACAGAACGGGCGCTTGACTTGTCTGCTTTGGGAGTGGAGCATGTGTGGGCATGAGGACCAATGTGTTTTGTATTGATCTGTCTAAAATGTGAATAATCTGTGATTTTACTTTCTGAAGTTTGCAGGATTCGGTAAGCGCACAATCAAGGTTTACTTTTGATTTTGTACCGGTAGAAATCTAGAAATCCCAGATTTCAAGTTGTAGTTGCAGACCTCCATATAGATCTGATCTAATCTGCCAGAAAAATCATGTAAAATAAATTGCCGGCTTGATTCTTCTTGACCAGGTAACCTGTACGTTGCCCAGTCTGTTGCCAGGCTTCCTGACTCCAGTTCTGGAGGGCCACCTTCAGCAATGTTTAGACATCTTGCTTTGTATAGTAAATCTAACCTAATTCATTATTCTGTAACAAATTGTGTCAGGAGCATGGCCCTTTAGGACTGAGTTGGACGGCACTTATCTGTAGCGTTCACTTTGGACTAATTTGAAAGGGTGGAATGGAAGTTAGATGCTTTGAAAACACCAGAAGCCACTTCTCTGTTCATTGCATGATATGTATGTTCATATCCTGCAACTGGCCATGTCGACATGGACTGCAGTGATCTGTAGCACCATGCTTCTATTCAGTTTTCAACCCTTTTGATCATTTTCTTCTGGTAGTTGTATCTTGCCATTGTCCAGAGCAAAGGGTTGGCAAACAAATATTTGCAAATTGCAGGCAACCCATTATGGGTGTCTGATATCTTTGGATGAGTGAAAAGCTCTGGATAGCAAGGTAGGAACTATGGCTGCAACAACTAATCGATTATAATCGATGATTGAAAAAGTTATAATCGATGATTGAAAAAGTTGTCAACTTTTTCAATCATCGATTAATCGGTTTCCGATTGGTTGGCCCTGTTCACAGCTCCACACACGCTGCGTGCCACACCTCCTCCCCACCTCACGCTCGCCGCTGCCAGATTCGCCCGCATTCACGCTCCACACCTCCTCCCCGCCTCACGCTCACAGCCCGCCCAAATCCACGATCGGCACAGGGACGCGGGGAGAAGAAGTATGGAGGAGCAGGTGTGGGCAGATGACAGCCGCCGATAGACAGGCCCGATCTCAGAAGCAAGTTGCTGGAAGACTGCTCAGGTAAGCCTGCACTTTCCCCCACATGGTGCTCTATAATGTATTGCTGGGATTTGTATTCCTCTATAGCTGATGGTACACTGTGCTGTATATTATACATAGGAATACAAATCCCTGCAATACACTATACACTGTATGTATAATGTATTGCTGGGATTTGTTGTATTCCTATATTGCTTGTGGTATTCTGCATTGCGCTGTATAGAGGACTACAAATCAAGGAATAATAAATTATACAGCGCAATGCAGAATACCACCAGCTATAGAGGAGTACAACAAATCCCAGCAATAGTACATTATACAGTGGTGCAATGCCGAATACCACTCACTATACAGGACTACAACACCTAGGAATACTACATTATACAGCGCAATGCAGAATACTACCAGCTACAGAGGACTACAAATCCCAGCAATAGTAGATTATACAGTGGTGCAATGCCGAATACCACTCACTATACAGGACTACAACACCTAGGAATACTACATTATACAGCGCAATGCAGAATACTACCAGCTACAGAGGACTACAAATCCCAGCAATAGTACATTATCGCTGGTGGTATTCTGCCTTGCACTGTATAATGTACTATTGCTGGGTTTTGTAGTCCTCTTTAGCCAATGCCATTCTGCATGCATTAATTTTTTTTTTTTCTTTTCTACTTCCACCGCTCCCAAGCTCGCTCCTCTGATGGACTGCAATCTCAACACAAACTAGTAGTCCATCACTGGAGCCATCTTTTAAAATGTATTTTATTTTTTATCCGATTAATTGAACTGAATAATCGGCTAACTAATCGATTTTTAAAATAATCGTTAGCTGCAGCTCTAGTAGGAACTGAGACAACAGCCCGTGTTCTTGTATATTCCAGAAGCATTGTTCTGGTGGGGGAATACAGAGCAAAACCCAACAAGATGGCAACCATTTTTTTTCTATGAAGGGGGGAGGTGTTCATAAATATCAGGCTACATTCACATGGGTGGCCAGATAGAATTGTTTGGATTATTGCTGCCAGAGCTACGGCTGTGTGGGAACAGAGCTGTCAGATTTGTCTTCTGTACAAATCAATCGCCAGTGGCGTCTCTGTTTGCATGTAACCACCAATGATTACATGTGCATAGAGCCTCTGACCCTGGACGAAGGCGGCATGTGTCCTGGTGCAGAGATTCTGGCTGCAGCTAATTGTAGAAATGTCACCAGCACACCAGTCCTTTTAGGATAGCAAAATCTTCATTTATTGAAGTACTGTGTCACATAGAACAAGCGCATTCGGGACCACACATGGTGTGTGTCCCCCCCACTACAAGGGACTTTTCGGTAAGGAGTGCATCAAGCATAGTATTTATTGTCTGGCTGCAGCTAATCGGCCATATTTGTATGAGGCCATAGTAAAGAGCGCAGCAACGTTTAGCTACCTCTGATCTCCGCCAAGTATCTGCCCCAGACCACCCATGTAAATGTAGCCTCGCAGTTCTTTTATATATCAACCCCAATGACCAGTCAAGGAACGGTCTTGCTGTAATCAGGACCCCAGATGGGCTCTTATAATTTGAGCTCCCTAGGTGACTTGTTTGCTAAACATTGTATTGGTAACTGAATGTTCTTTGTGCATCTGAAAATGATATAACAGAGGGTCGAGGAACCAGAATGAGATGCCAGCATGCCTGAAAAATGTCTTCCCTTACTGAACATTCCTTTCATATATTGTGTATATGGGTAATATTACCTCTCAACCAGCGCACTCTGGTATACGGTTATTGTTTCACTGTACAAGTGCTGTTGTGGAATTGCAGGAATTAATGGTAAAACATGTCACAGCAACGCACGTGTGGACAGGCCCTAAACTGTTCTGGGTGAACTTTATAAAATAAAAATAAAAAAAAATATTGCTGTATATACGTAAATGTTTTGGGCTGTTTTGCACTCAGAACTTCTGGAAAGGTAAAAAAATATTTTAAAGGTCAGTGCACTCTGAACCGCCATTCTTCTGTTTTCATTCATTGGATGGGACTGGTGCGGGTCTCCGGTCCAGCGCTGACTCCTCTGTCCTCCTCTGACGCCCCACGGAGTCTGTGCAGGTGCACGCTGCTCCATAGACTTACCTTGTGTCTTTCCTCGTCTCCCGGCCGAACATCTGAACTGCACATGCACCCGCCCCAAGATCCTATGCGGACGCCCGAGACTCTTCAGATGTTCGGACGGGAGCGCGCGGCGAAGACACAGGTAAGTTTAAACCTGTTTCAAAAGGGTTTTTTTGGGGGGGTTTTTAAACGTTTTCAGAGATGATTTGAGGATCCACAGGGATCTCCAGTGACATAATTTACCATATATGGACTTTCCCATTTGTAGTAAATGCTGAAGAGAGAGAGAGAGAGAGCTCCTTCCCCTCTGTCATCAGCGATCCACGATCACTTAGCCCCGCCCACCACCTTAAATAAGGTTTTACAGCCTTACTGTGCATTTTGGCTAATTAGAGTAAATTACATTATTTACTTATTTAGCCTATGGAATGCATTAATAAAAAAAGATAGAACCCCATAGTTCTCCTTTTAATTACATTTGTAAAGGAAAAAAACCTAAAGAACGTTCATTTTGGCATATATCCGCACAAGCTGAATGTTTGCGGATATTTGCTGGGCAAACAGCCTTACAAATTGTTTATAAATCAAGCTCTTTGTATGTATGGGATTGCTGGTTTCCCCCCTGCACTCAGTGGTTCCCCCTGTCGGCCCCAGGATGCACCCGAGCACAGTGGGTTCAATCCATGTCATCCTTTCAGGCAGCTCTTTATTATACAGTTCTACAGGTGGCCAATAAGAGGTACATTGTTGGCAGATGACTAATTTTATGAGTTACAGCAACTACCTTTGCCAGACCATTTTAAGATTGCAGCATACTGGGTTTATTGCACAACTTTCTGCTCCAAACGACTTCAGCCTCTGTGTATGAAACTAAAATGGCAAGAGAGTGAACATAAGAGAACTATGGGGTGACCTTTTTATTCCATAGTTCTCTTTAGGGTCACGGGAGGACATATAATAACCTCCTCCTGTGACCCAAAGCTCAGTATATAGCGGGCTATTCCCTGCAATATACTGAGGGCGCTGCAACTGGGACAGATCCTGACAATACTGTTGAGATTCACCCAGCTGGCTCCGCCTATTTAGAGGCAGAGCCAGCTGTGCCCGCCCCCTCCGCCGACTGTTCCTCCATTCAGCGCTGGGGGATCGGGGGGGAACTCCCTGCAGGGAGCCGTGACTGACAGTCACTGCAGGGAGTCGATCGGGAAGCGAGCGACGGTATGTCAATAGAGTCGACCTGTGACAGTTTCAATGACACACGTCGGCTCTAACTATGAGGATGAGTGTAAATCACTCACCTCATAATGAAGCTGAAGATACACAGCTTCAATAAGAATATTCAGTTTGGTTGATTTGCAATGGTTGAAAATGGCTAGTTTACTGAATTTACGCTGGGTGTCATTCAACCCGGATGACTGAGGACATCTAGTGGAGAGAAGCAATTATTGCAGGGGGAAGCACCACGGAGGGGGTCATTATTGCAGTCAGAATTGCTAGGGGAATATTTTACATTGCCCATAGTTTGGCTTTAAGTTAGAAGTCTGGCTGGCAGGCAGGCTCGAGTTGGCATAAAATTATCTTTTGGCTGGAAAAGCTCTTTCACGTTGCAAATTGTAAGAAACCTCACTTGCACACTTGATATCATTAGGTTTATCTCCAATGAACCCGCACTGTAAACCATATCTATTACTTGTCTGGGTCTCCTATGCTCATTTCAGGAAGTTTTGCACAAAATTCTGTCTTTGCCTCTGTGGAAGACTGGAGACACTCTAGTAACCATTATAAACATTTCAGCATTCATTATTGGACACTGTAGATACTTCAAAAGCTTCTACATAGATAGCAGAACGAGATGGCTGAAGGAAAAGTCTCTCTGTCTGTGAGGTTTGATCTCACTTTTGGCACCAGCCACTAGAACAGGAAGTGAGGAGAAATCTTCCAGATGTGGACACCGGGCTTGTTTTAGTACATTTAATTTTGGTATTGCCTGTTTCATGTGTTTCTGATGTGTTTTCCATGCTGTCTTTACTTTCCATCAAGTGCGCAACTGTATATAAATATAGTATATAGTAGTATGTAACATGTGTTGTATGTGTTTACATGTAGTACCATTCATTCACAATGGAAAAGTAACTTTATTAGGAATGGCAGCAATCGGGATTTTCTTTAAAAGCACAATGTAAAAATGGAACGTATTATAAAATACACGGAGGTGTACAGAGACCCTAAAAGTGCACATTGGGGCCATGTCAAACTAGCGACCCTCATCAGGATGGCTAAGGGCCCATTCACTCCAGCCCAATCTGCTGGGGTGCTCATCTGTGCCTATAGTTCTACTCCCGACGCGGCGATGCTCTGTACCGAATCCCTCGTTGGCCAGACCTGGGGGGTGATACTCTGTCCTTTCTCCTTTGTTGGCTAGATCGGGAGGCAGTGCTCTGTCCGTGCTCTCTTGTTGGCTAGACCTGGGGGTGGGAGGGTTTTGACACTGTCCCTGCTCCCCCTTCATTGGCTAAACTGGGGGGGCAGGGAAGTGACGCTCTGCTCCCTGCTCCTTTATTGGCTAGACCGAGGGGTAGGGAGGGAGGTGACACTCTGTCCCTGCTCCATCATTGGCTAGACTGAGGAGGTCACGCTCTGTCCCTGCTCCTTTTTTAGGGGGGGGCATACTCTGTCTCTGCTCCCTCGCTGGCTAGACTGGGGAAGTGATGCTCTGTCCCTGCTCCTTTTATTGGGGGGGTGGGGGGGGGGCATACTCTGTCTCTGGCTAGACTGGGGAAGTGATGCTCTGTCCCTGCTCTCTTGATTGCATACCAAATCCTGCAGCATTTCATCCAGCAGAGGAGCAGTTGAGCACTTTCTAGCAATCCTATAGCTGGTGCCAACAGGGTCGCTTATGTGACATGGCCCCTAAAAATCATCATATAAACTTGGAAGAGTTGACCACGTTACTCTGGGCATTGTAGTGTGCAAGTCTTTTCTTATAGCCTGCTTGTGTCCGATTGTCATGTGTTCCACCTCTATATCTATATGTGTGATGTGTGAGAGTGTTCATTTCTTTTGATTTTCAAAGAGCGTGTAAGGTACGAATGTTCCACGCCAAAAGGCCGAACGCATAGCGTACTGCAGAGCTATGCGTTTCAGAGATGATTTCAAGCAGTGTGCATATTGCAGGAGGGATCCTCGTGGCTGCTTGCAAGAAGCTATTGTGTGCTTGAGTGCTTTCACTTCCCTCCAGATGATGTTGCAGACATGGTTTGCAGCTTGAATTACCCCCTGTGTTTGCTGTTCAGATTTAATATTTAAAGATTCCTCTCTGTTTTCCCTATGCTGCGCCCTTCTTCCTTTTTTAACCTCAACCCCATTGTGCTGCCTCCCCTACTCCTACCCTACACAGACCTGTCATCATTCCTGGATCGGCTTGGAGTGCTCACTGTGGGAGGTATGTCCTTTTTTAACTGCCCTCCCTGCCTTCCCCTTCCACCCTATCCACATGTCTATGTTGTAGGATCCCCTCAGGTAGAATGGGTCTAAGTGTTCTGTGTCTAAATCATAAAATCTGCTGCCTGCATATTGTGGGACTATACTGGTAATTGGCCGGTGCTAGACGTGCTGCCTTCTCAAATTGTACTTGTCACCCATGTAATAAAAGCCATTAAATTGGTCTACTCTACAAAATGTACCTCTCAACTAGAGTATGAGTGAACGGTGATACAGTAATCAAGGTGTGCATGCTTACAGGTTCACGATGTCTTCAGGTACCAAAGAAAATGATGACTTTCCTCATAAGTGTATGTGTGTATATAATATATATATATATATATATATACACACTGTATATGGAATGATCTAAGCCAGGGGTAGGCAAACCTTGGCAATCCAGCTGTGCTATAACTGCACATCCCATCATGCCTATGCCTCTGGGAGTCATGCCTGTGGCTGTCAGAGTCTTGTGGTGCCTCATGGGACTTGTAGGTCCGCAACAGCTGGAGTGCCGAGGTTGCCTACCCCTAGCTAAGGAATGCTTTCAACAGTCATGTATATATAAAATTATTTATAATGGATGCATTGGGAATCTGAGAGCCTGTCGCCAACTTAAATCAATTGCGGGTTAACGGTCACAAAAATTGAGTACTTTAAGTGCCTAATTGCAGTGTTTTTCCTTTCCATAAGGGCAATGGGCCGTGTGATGTATTTTGTAACAGAAGGGCACCAAAAAATGAATGTGTGAACGGGGCTACTTCACACCTCTCCTCCCTTCCTTTTTTCAGCATAACGTAATGCAACTAGCCCCATTCACACCCATTCATTTTTCAGTGCCATTGCATTAACATCCGTTGAAAAATGGATCGGAGGGGGAAATTGGAAGTCAACAGACCCTCCGTTGACTTGCGATTTCCTTCTGATTTTGGTGTGAATGCACCCTAAATGATTTATCATTGACTTGCAGTGTGCCAGTGAACTTTCTAGGGAAATAACACTCCAGAAAGTGTCCATTCCCTAGCATAGTCCCCACCCTCCTCAAATGTCATAGCCCTCTTCTAGGAGGGTCTAATAACTGTCTGTGCTGGCCTAGCTGCTCCCTCCCTTCCTCTTCCTTTATAACGTTTTCTGTAGGTGGCAGGGGGGGAGTGAAAGGAAAGTATAGAGTGTCATTAGAGTGACCACACAGAGTCTGCCGCGGCTGCTGACATCACATCCAAGATGGCGGCACCCAACAGCATCCTCATGGATTTTGGATATCAAGGGAGGATTTTACAGGTGAATAACATACATAAAATGTGTTACATGCACGTTATAATTTTATGGGAAGATTTTTGTTGAAATGAATGGTTTGGATGGAGGCAAGGTCTCTTGATCGGCCATATTGGAATTCTTTGGAGTTGTAGAGTAACAAGCGTTTCTAAATGAAAGAAGACGACTGCCGTCCTGTAACAGAGGATCAGCCTGTGTTGTGTGGGCAGAGTGTATACAGTGTATATGAGGAAGAAGCCACATGAGCAAACTTGGGATGATTGAGCTTTGGTTATGTAATCGTTTCACCACATAAGGCTCTGTGTACACACATACACTCAGTATACTTGTCTATTGATGGCTGGCCATAGTGCGCCTTTGGGGCCAGGTTCTTGGGATGAATGTACCAAACACAGGCAATTTGTCACTCGGATATGTGAAGCTTACCAATCGATTACTTGTTTTTTTTTACTGTTTTTCTTCTATTTGTCATTTTGCAGCTTCTTGTCTGCTAAGGTTATCCATTGGTATAATGTCTCCAGGCTCATTCCCCCAAGTGTGCAGTAGCTAGGTGCATTGTCATTTAATTGAATGGCACCCCAATGCACCTCCTAGGGGCCATGCCTTACGGTATAGCCATACTGCGCACTGCAAACCACTGGGGGGTGCATTAGGGTGCCATTCAAAGAACGGCAATGCACCTAGCACACGGTACTGTGCGAAAGCCTGCACTAAATGCACATTATTATGCTTTTAGCACCACACTTATGGTGTGAAGCGGCTCTTACTGTCCTTTAAGTGACCTTTCCCTCAAGTAATCAGCCACAACACTTATGTCTGTAGATGGCCTTACTGACTACATTCTTTTATTATCTCGATAGGGTGTAGCTCAGCCTTTATTGCAGCTATTATTTATGCATTTATTGCACACTCGTTGGCACTCTGCACCTAAATTATTTCAAAGGTTGAAGTTGCAATGTGCTGTTCTTATACAGTCCCATACGATAGGGGTAACGTTTGACCTAGCTGAGCGTCATGCACAACATAGGAACATATTAATAATTTGGCTTATCATATGATGTTATAGATGAGCTATAATCTATCACACTGTGTAACTTGCACAGATTGGCTGATGCATGAAGGATTTGCTGTTGCCATACCCAATGAGTCAATTGTCAAACGGGGTTCCTTTTTTCATGGTTTATGTCTGTGGCACAGCACATAAATAAGATGATCCTATACTGCAATGTATGTAATGTGAGTTAATGCCGTGGTGTGTACTGCATTGCTGGACATAAATGGCCATCCTGAGGTGCTCCGTGCAGGGCATATAAATGAGGTGGTAGAGTGCTGTGCTGTACGGTATAAAGCTGGACCATACTGTTCTTCATGGCAGCATATATATATATAAGAATGTGTCATGCATCGTCTAGACCAGGGGTGAGCAGCTCCAGCCCTCCAGCTGTGCTCTAACTACAAATCCTAACATGCCTCTACCTCTGGGAGTCATGCCTGTAACTGTCAGTCTTGCAATGCCTCATGGGACTTGTAGTTCCATAACAGCTGGAATTGCCCGCCCCTGCTCTAGAATGTAAATTACCTTATGCAGGTTACCAAGCCAACCACAAGGTAAATAACAGTGGACATAATGTTAGTTTTTAAATACTAGTGTGAAGAGCTTCAGCAAACATTTAATGTGTTTCAAGCAGCCTGTAGTCTGGAAGTGCTTAATTATAATCTTAGTGGTAGTAATGACTGTACCTTTAATCAAGCTTTCTACCAGTTTCAGTAGTATTTAGCAAGCTTGCTTAAAGCTACAGTTAGCGCTACAATTAAAAGGGAAGGAAGTACAGTGTTTTTGACAAAATAAATGTTGATTTAGGTCAGGTCAAGTTTACTTTAAAGTAGGGATGTTCAGATACCAAGTGCCATACTCAGTACAAGTATTGACACTTTTCCAGCTCCAAGACTAGACTAGAGAAAAATTAAAAGTTAGGAGGCCGCTGTCATTTGTAAGGAGCACACGGAGCTCCCGGGATTTGTACATCTCTGTTTTAATGTATGATTCGAGATTATATATATATATATATAATTAGGGACGCACCAATACAATTTTTCCCAGACCAAGTACCAATACTTGTCCAAGTCCTCACAGATACCAATTACTGATACCTTTTTTTATTATTATTGTCATGTGACAGTTTAAAAAAAAAAAAATACAGACTAATGATTTCAGGACATTGGTGGAGCGCCAGAGCCCAGTTGGAGCTGCAACCCTGGTAGTTCTCATGAAAATGCCAAATATTGGCACTGGTACCTCAAATGGTATATGAACATCCCTATTGATCAGATAAATATGAAATATTGTAAATTAATATTTTATATTTTTAGTCAGCCGAGAGAAATCTAGACACATTTTAACTTTACTTTGTTTCTTGTAAAAAAACAAAAACATAACTGTTTGTTTACAGAGCTCAATGGCTCAGGCTGAAACTTAAAGGCCATCCCGGGCAAACATAAAAAATACCTTTGCAGTGGGGCTCACCCCCTGCACTACAAGGGTGAAGTGCTGATTTTTGTCTAGGAGCTGGAGTAAAGCTGATTTGCTTACCTGAACCCCGCGCCTCCTCAGCATTCACAATAAGTGTATGTATAAAGTCACTCGCACTCCAATCGAATTTCAAGTCCAAAGCTGTTTATTGACTCGATTGATATCACATCATATCGCTATATGATGTGATAGCAATCGAGTCAATAAACCATTTTGGACTTGAAATTGTATTGGAGTGCGAGTGACTTTATACATACGTAGATCGATGGGAGAGCCCTCCGCACACCTTTGCAGCAGTCAGGCCAATAAGTGAGATGGTGCTCGCAGTGACAATCACGGATGGCGCCGTGCAAACACAGGATAAAGAAGTAAATCGCCAGCACTCAACGATGTAATTCAAAATGTCCATTTATTGGACAGAGACGTCGCAATAATCAAAGCCAACGTTTCAAGACCACACAGGGTCCCTTCCTCGGGGCAGAAAGACGTGACTTTATACATACACTTATCTTGGATTGCAGAGGCATCTGCAGTCACTTTGGCACCCACCCGACTCTAAGGGTATTATTCGGTCAGGAGTGCGATGGGTACACTGGATTTTGTCCTCAGCATTCACCTCTCTCTTCTCTGATCCAGCTGGTGGAATGTCCATAGGCATCCTCACGTCGGTGAAACCTGCATTAGACCTCATGACATCAGTGGTCCTTAGACCACCAGAGCCCAGGGGGAGAAGAAGCTGCAGGGACCATTCCAGCAGCCTGAAGGTAGCTAAGCAAATCTACTTTACTCCAGCTTATTGGAACATCCTATACCCAATGTATAGAATGTGATGACCTTAGACTTCTGCAGGTGGGGGGGAGGCTCCATGGACTGGTCTAAGCCCTAGTTCATGCTGAGTGGTTTGTAGCTTTTTCTGCCCTAAAAAGTACAGGAGCTTTTTTGGGGGCATATTACAGCTTGTTTTGGCCCCATAGACTCAATAGGAAATGTTGGAAATACACGTTTGCTGTGTTTTAGGTGCGTTTGCTCATTAACATCAATGAGCTACAATCTGCTCACAAAAACGCTCCTCAAAAATGCACGTAGAAACTCGCAAAAACAATGTCGCCTAGGTCTGAACCCAGCCTAAGAGCAAGCTGGCTCGGAGGATCGGGTGAGTATAACTTTGTTATGTTAGACCCTAGACAAATACAAGCACTTAACCCTTGCAGTGCGCTGGTAGTAAGGGTTAAGAAAAAAATTCCGTTCGGCTTTAAAGTCTAAATACAAAAAATGTGTTGACTCAGCATGTTTGCATAGAGACCCAGATTTCTTTGTAACGCAAAAAATCTACTTTGCATTGGTTTTATGTAATATGCAAAGTTTTTTGTTCTCTTTTTCTTCTCTGCCATACTGTAGTAATTGGAAGAGATTTAGGCAAGAGAGACGTAATTTTTTACTCATGTAATCAGTAATTAATCAGCTCTCCAGTTCTGCTGCAAATGAATTGCTCAAAGTTCATGTATGCAGAATAATTTGAGGTATTGAATGATGGATGAGATGTTCACACAGCCCATTGATGAAAACTTTCTGGTGTAACCGATATTATTGGAAGCCATCTTACAGAGCGAGAGATCACTGAGGGGAATATACCAGCCCTCGCAGCAGCCCAAAGCTCACCATTCACATACAGATTTGAACAGTGACTACTGCAGCTTATTGTATGCAGTTACTGTTGGGTCGACTGACAATTCCCCCGGTACACCCACCGCCAATCCCCCCCGCTCCTTTGATTTTTCAGTTGAAGTTTGCTGAGCCCGGTTGTGTCGGTAGGGCCACCCATGAATCAGCCAAAATTTGCTGATTCATGGGTATCTGCGACAATTTGAGCCGTGTATGGCCAGCTTATAGAACACAGAGGCTAAGGTGATTGATCAACTGCAGGTCATCACACCCAAATGCAGTATGAAGGACGTTTTCTACAGTGGTGAGAAGAGTCTCCACTGAGACTTTAAAACGGGAGGGGTGTTTTCTTTACAGGAAAGCTAAACTGGAACAGAGATGTGACATAGTGGTCAGGAATAATCTATAAAACCATTCCTGTTTTGGACTGTGTTGGCATATTCAGATGCTATCTCCAATTGCTATGCCTTCTAACATTACCTGTGCACAGAGGCTGCTGTAAGTTCTTTATTGCTCCCTCTCTCCTGTCACAGTTTGCCGGCAATCCCTAGATAGCAGCTGGGAAAACTCAGACAGGGAATCAGATTTTTGAAGGTGAAGTCCTGTTTTACATAGTTATTCTGGATACGAGGAAGAAAAGAATCCTGGAGCACACCAGAGACTAGGGATGCACCGATGCCGTTTTTTTCGGTATCTAGTACGAGTACCAGTATTTTGCTTTCGGTACTCACCGATACTGGTGCTTCTGCTGGCATGGAGCTGGCTTCCCAGGCAATCAGGAAGCCGGGCGGTGAGTAATGACATGCCGCCCGGCTTCCTGATTGCCCGGGAAGTCAGCTCCATGTTGTTTGGCCAGCTTGATTGTGAGTGGCCAGGAAACCGGCTAATAAGCATGACCCGCCTCCTGGTTCCCTGATGGGACGGGAAGCTGGCTCGATGCTGATTGGCTGGAAAACTGGCTTCCCAGCAAGGAGCCGGCTGTTCAGTCAGCTCGATGCTGATTGGCCCGGGAAGCCGGCTTCCTGGCCTATTAGGAAGCCGGGAGGCGAGTTAATACTCACCGCCCAGCTTCCTGATCGCACGGGAAACTGGCTCCATGTTCCCCTACTGCACTGCCGGAGTTTCAGGTTTGGGGAAGGTATCGGAGCATTTGGGCGTTACTCGCCCAAATACTCAATATCGGCACCGATACTAGTATCCATATCGGTGCATCCCTACCAGAGACTGTCATGTGTTGCAAGGTATAAGCTACTCGCATGTCCAGCCCCAAAGGGACCTTATGCCCTATGCAAAGCAAAATAAAACTTCTTCTTTAAATTTAGCACCGTTCATCCATCCAATTCTATAGAAGGCTTTACCGCTCTGTATTGGAGTACAGTGCTCCCCATGTGCTGTACCATATTTTGTTCTGAATTCATTGACACTCCTCCTTTTCTGCTTGGCTGGAACGTATTTGTTTTCTATATTCTATTGGTTGAGTTAGGCTAAAAAAAGAAAAAACTAATCATTCCAGTCATTGGTGAAAGAAAAGATGAAGGAAGGGAGATTAAGTAAAGTTGATTTTTACACTGAGATTTCACAGCTGCTATCTAGGGATTGGATACAGAATGGTGACATGAGAGAGTTTACAACAGCCTCTATGCGGCGGTGCTGATGGAATTGCAGTAGTCCCTTTAAGGAGGTTTGGATGGTGCCTGCATGTCTAAGTTTTTGTTAGAGTCTGTGGTCAGTGTCAGGCTTTTTCCCCGGCTTGAAATTGATGATTATGCAAAGCAGTAGGTCTAAAAGAGAAGCGTTATAAATAAAATGTGATGTATATTCAGATCTGGAAATTTAACATGTCGGTGACCTATAAGTCTAAAACACAAGCTAGTCGTTTTAGCAAACGGTGAATTGCGAGCCGATTTGTCACGGATAGCTTCACTCCACAGATCCATTTGTGTGAGGGTGGACAAGCTGTAGAATCCAGAAGCCAACCATTCAGATGGAAGGAGAACACACAAAAGAAGCACCTCTCCACCACGACTCGGAATGAGCCAGGTGCTTGCCTCTGGGAGCACATCTTCGCTCCAATATGAGCCCATACAAACAGAAGAAAAGCTGGCCACACACTAGATTTGGGATAGTTTATTGAAGCTTGTACCACATCACTGGTGTCCCCCTTTTGACGCATTTCACCCAATCGCTGGCTTAGTCATACAGTAGAGACCTTTATGACTAAGGTTG